ACACACACACACAAACAGACAGACAGACACACACACACACAGACAGACATACTAACTGCAAAGAATCCCTTTTTGTGCTTCGCACACGGGAGTCAATAAGTCACGATCATTGAATGAGTTCAGTCTATACCGTATCGTAAAAGTGTTCCCACAAAAAATATTTTCAACTAAAAATGGCCACATGCCCTGAAAAAATAGAACAGAGCTTGACATGTATGAATAATTTATTGGGCTTAAAAAAACGTGTCAAATTTAGTTATAGTCATAAATATTTGGTGGCCAGTCGATGAACAATTCGTAACTCAGGATTCACACGGAAGTCCTTCAGGGCTGAAAATCATCGACCCTACTCTGGTTTACTTTATTTCCTAACTTGCAGAGAAAACTGATTCGCCGTGGACTCTAATGTATCTAAGCCTAGTATTTTCTTTTTGAACTGAGGTCAAATTCCATTCGTTTGTCAAAATATACCGATGTTTTTCAGCGAATTTTGAAGCCGGTCACAGCACAAAAACACTATGTGAATCGACGCCAGAAATTGGATGGTACGACGACCTTTCAATTAGCGTCAAATATGCTTTGTTACAACATCATTGATTGGTTGAAAGTCACATGATCGGAGCACAACCTGGGTCACAGAACCACAACACATTTTCAATCAATCAATCAGAGCGGAAGTTGCCAACAAATGTCAAAAAACTCGTGAATTTCGTGGATTTGAATAAAATAAAGCAAGCGATTGATAAGAATGATTATTAATATTTTCCTCGATGCACTTTGAATTTTTTTTTTTTTTTTTATTTCAAGGTAAGAAATGGCTAGTTAAGTTGCATCGACTTCAAGGCGGTTGTTTCACCGCAAACAACTCCAGCTCTGTTGTAGTTTTGCGATGTAATTAAAATATATATTATAATAATAATAGTACTTGTTAAATTATTTGGGGTCTCAGCCCACAAATTACGGACATGATCCCCATGAATTACGGTAAATGTTTGTACCGTTTCGGCTGATTGTGTTGATCGACGCCCTTCCTAAACTCAGTATGGAGAAACCAACTGGGATCGACATTCCAAACAAATTATTGGGACACGGTAAACAAACATTCCAAACAATCGAAATTATCAACGAAAATTATCAACGAGATTTTTCTAGATATTTACAGACATACTGTCATTAAAAACATATGTAAAATTAACAAATACACAAAGAGGTGTAATATAAGGTTTTATTTTAGGCTTAGAAATATTTCCTTTCACTCAGCCCTTGCATGAAACTGCCATTTAGCTTCATGGTCCTTCAGCTTGTCTTTGCCTCAGGGAAAAACAACAATAATTATACAAAACACATTGCGAAGACTCAACAATCAGGAAAGAAAACCCAGTCAACATGTCATACTTGTGTTGAAATACATTTTGTATTTCACGTCAGAATATTGTTCAAAATAAAATATTCAGTCCAAGCCAAATCGAGGTCAAA